TTTTTTTTTTTTTTTTTAATTTCATTTCTTTCTTTATACATATTTCTTCAGATCGGAAAGAAAAGACCATGTAATGATAACAACCATAGATGAAACCATCTTCACCCAGATAAACAAAAAGCATTTAAGCTAGAACAAGCCATAAAGATGTTAAACTTAGATCAACTTAAGTTTCAGTGAAACAAAACTATAATTAATGGTATAATTAAATTCGATCTACATATGAAAATGATGACTTTTCTTATTATCTTCAAATTTAATGAGGTTTTGACTTGATGTATATGAGTAGTATGAAATATATATGCCTTTTTTCAGACAATTCTAAGAAGATACTTATATTATTGAAGAGATAATACTTTCAACTAATAGTATTTGATCACATGCATGTACATCAATCAGCATCTGCAAATATAGCTTTCATTAACAAAGGAGAAAGAACATGTTGGGATTGGGCAATTAATACGAACAAAAGACTCAGACAACTTGTTGGAACTTAATATTAACTGGGAATTAAAGTGGTCCAAATTAAATTCATAGTTAAAAGACTTTGATGTCTTATTTCTCTTCAACCATTTTTTTTTTCTTTTTTTTTTTTTTTTTGTTGTGATTGGTTGTCCAGATCAATTTGCAACTAATCTCGCTAAGAACAAAAATTCAAAATACTTAGTCGCATAATATGCCGCAGACAAAAAGATTGACCTAGTATATATTTCATTGTTCACATTTTAATTAATTAATGTATTTATTTATTGTTCCATTCCATTATGATCTTCTGTTTGTTAATTTTATTAAATTTATAATGCAGGAACCTGTTCTAACTGATTGGGAAGGATCATCCATGGGACCTGACAACTCAAGAGCATCTTCTTCAGGCATAAAAAAAGAACAGGTTAGAACCATTGTGGATAATATTTTAGGAAATGTTAGTCATATAATTAATATTTTCAGAAGAGTGAAGATGATTATTTATTTAATATTTTATAATTAATTTTGACTGTTGTGGACGTAGGATGATCAGCTTGAATCTGCAAGAGCCGAAATGGGTGAAGTGAGAGAAGAAAATGAAAGACTGAAGATGTATTTAGGTCGAATAATGAATGATTACAAGATCCTTCAAATGCGATTCCATGACTTTGTTCAGCAAGACGCGAAGAACTCTACAGACACATCTAATGATCATGACCAAGAAGTCGAAGAAACTGAGCTTGTTTCTCTAAGTCTTGGAAGATTTTCAAGTGATTCAAAAAAGGAAGAGAAGACGAAAACCTCTAGTTCAGGAAAAGAAGATGATCAGAAAATTAAAGAAGGCTTATCCCTTGGACTAGAATGCAAATTTGAAGTATCAAAACCAGATGCAAATGAAGCGTTACCTGATCCCAGCCTCACAAACAGTTTTGAGGAATCAAAGGAAGAAGCTGGGGAGACCTGGCCACCTAGTAAAGCTCTCAAGACAATGAGAAGTGGAGACGAAGACATTTCTCAACAAAATCCAGTCAAAAGAGCCAGGGTTTCTGTTAGAGCTAGGTGCGATACACCAACGGTAAGTATTGATCTTTTAATTTAAAAGCTACAGTAATTAGGGTTCAACTTATTATTTGATGCATTTTGCTACTGTTTATAATTATAAATATAAAGCTCTATATTCCTCATAATATTAATTAACAAAAAATTGTTTTTATGCAGATGAATGATGGTTGCCAATGGAGGAAATATGGACAAAAGATTGCTAAAGGAAACCCTTGCCCTCGTGCTTATTATCGCTGCACTGTTGCTCCTTCATGCCCAGTCAGGAAACAGGTGCATATATACTTAAGATTCATAAAAGTGTTTTCTCTTTTCAATATGTCTCTATCTTTCTTTAGCCACTGACTTAAATGTTCGTGTTACTTGGGAATTTTAGGTGCAAAGATGTGCTGAGGAAATGTCAATCTTAATCACCACCTATGAAGGAACCCACAACCACCCACTTCCAATGTCAGCAACCGCTATGGCTTCTACAACTTCTGCAGCCGCTTCCATGTTATTGTCTGGCTCATCATCGAGCTCTCGCCCTGGCTCCACTGCACCATCCACCTCCATCACAGCAGCCAATAATAATCTCCATGGACTAAACTTTTATCTAACCGATAACTTAAAGTCCAAGCAATTCTATTTACCCCATCCTTCATTATCATCTACACCTTCATGCCCAACAATCACTGTTGACCTCACCACTGCACCATCTTCTTCCTCTTCTCCTTTGGGTAGGTTTATTACAAATTATCCCTCAACTGCTCCAAGATATTCTTCCACAAGTCTAAGCTTCGGTTCTTCAGAATCCAACTCAATGTCGTGGGGCAACAATTTACTTAGCTATGGTAGCACTCAGCCATATATCAAAAATCAGACTGGAAGTTTAAACCCAGGAATAAGACAACCTATGGAGAATATTTATCAATCCTTCTTACAAAAGAGTAACATTCCTGCTGCTCCCCAACAATCTATACCTGTAGATACGATAGCTGCCGCAACCAAAGCTATAACTGCGGACCCAAGTTTCCAATCTGCTTTAGTAGCAGCGCTCACATCAATCATTGGAACTGGCGACAGCGGTGGAACGAGTGGTGCAAGTCAGGTTGGCGGAGGTCAGGTTGGCGGAGGAGATAATCTTGGTGTAATGCAGAAACTTAAGTGGGGTGAACAATTTCCAGTGGCTTCTAGTTACTCAGAGAGTGTGAAAGGCAATGGTTGCGGATCAAGCTATTTGAACAAATCATCAACGACGACAAATACTCAGCCGGGAAGTTTGATTTTTCTACCACCTTCTTTACCATTTGCCTCTTCTAAAAGTGCATCTGCATCTCCTGCCGAGAATAGAGAGCATACAAATTGAGATTCAAGCACTCATTAATCTTCTTTATAATCGAATTTCCACCTATGTTTAGTCTCGTTTACTTAATCTTCATATTGTGATGTATAATAGATAAAGAAATCTGTGCATACGCACNCAACGGTAAGTATTGATCTTTTAATTTAAAAGCTACAGTAATTAGGGTTCAACTTATTATTTGATGCATTTTGCTACTGTTTATAATTATAAATATAAAGCTCTATATTCCTCATAGATATTAATTAACGAAAAATTGTTTTTATGCAGATGAATGATGGTTGCCAATGGAGGAAATATGGACAAAAGATTGCTAAAGGAAACCCTTGCCCTCGTGCTTATTATCGCTGCACTGTTGCTCCTTCATGCCCAGTCAGGAAACAGGTGCATATATACTTAAGATTCATGAAAGTGTTTTCTCTTTTCAATATGTCTCTATCTTTCTTTAGCCACTGACTTAAATGTTGGTGTTACTTGGGAATTTTAGGTGCAAAGATGCGCTGAGGAAATGTCAATCTTAATCACCACCTATGAAGGAACCCACAACCACCCACTTCCAATGTCAGCAACCGCTATGGCTTCCACAACTTCTGCAGCCGCTTCCATGTTATTGTCTGGCTCATCATCGAGCTCTCGGCCTGGCTCCACTGCACCATCCACCTCCATCACAGCAGCCAATAATAATCTCCATGGACTAAACTTTTATCTAACCGATAACTTAAAGTCCAAGCAATTCTATTTACCCCATCCTTCATTATCATCTACACCTTCATGCCCAACAATCACTGTTGACCTCACCACTGCACCATCTTCTTCCTCTTCTCCTTTGGGTAGGTTTATTACAAATTATCCCTCAACTGCTCCAAGATATTCTTCCACAAGTCTAAGCTTCGGTTCTTCAGAATCCAACTCAATGTCGTGGGGCAACAATTTACTTAGCTATGGTAGCACTCAGCCATATATCAAAAATCAGACTGGAAGTTTAAACCCAGGAATAAGACAACCTATGGAGAATATTCATCAATCCTTCTTGCAAAAGAGTAACATTCCTGCTGCTTCCCAACAATCTATACCTGTAGATACGATAGCTGCCGCAACCAAAGCTATAACTGCGGACCCAAGTTTCCAATCTGCTTTAGTAGCAGCGCTCACATCAATCATTGGAACTGGCGACAGCGGTGGAACGAGTGGTGCAAGTCAGGTTGGCGGAGGTCAGGTTGGCGGAGGAGATAATCTTGGTGTAATGCAGAAACTTAAGTGGGGTGAACAATTTCCAGTGGCTTCTAGTTACTCAGAGAGTGTGAAAGGCAATGGTTGCGGATCAAGCTATTTGAACAAATCATCAACGACGACAAATACTCAGCCGGGAAGTTTGATTTTTCTACCACCTTCTTTACCATTTGCCTCTTCTAAAAGTGCATCTGCATCTCCTGCCGAGAATAGAGAGCATACAAATTGAGATTCAAGCACTCATTAATCTTCTTTACAATCGAATTTCCACCTATGTTTAGCCTCGTTTACTTAATCTTCATATTGTGATGTATAATAGATAAAGAAATCTGTGCATACGCACGGATGGTGCATGCACAGACATTGCAGGGATTCTTTTAATATTTTGTTTTTTTTTAATTGTATAATTTAACTTGTATTTATTGTTTTGCTTTCTAAATCATCTGGTTGATGAGCATTTAGGAATTCTAAAATAGATTATAATTTTTACTAAGCCATGAATTTGGCATACATAAGATGGGAACTTAATTGGTATTATTAATTTTTAGAGTTAGTTATGTCATTAGGTCATAATCTTTGCTAAAATATGGGTTGATACCATATTATTAACGCGCGCATGCACACAAATATATATGAGTAATGTTACATTTACATCGTTTTTTTACACCATTTTCATTACATCAGACATATGTCACAACCACACAAATTTTTAATTATTTTAAAATTTTAATATTATAATAGAATTTGTGTGGTTGTGGCATATGCCACATCATGATGTAATGAAAATAGTGTAAAAGAGTGGTGTAAATATAGCATTATTCAACATATATATACACTAGTTATATCATCTACAATTGCCTGAATCTCGAGATATTTTTCGAACCAATTGACAATTTTAGTGGGATAGGTAAGTCGGGGAGACTCCCTTTCCAAGAACTGTATATAAGAATTTTATTTCGGTACAATAAAAAAAAAAAAATCCAAATACTCAGTGTAAAGGGTATGAAATAGAAAATTGGAAACTTCTTAATCTTCTCATCCAATCTTATCTAAAGATATGAAAGAGTAAAAATCAGAAAACTCTTCTTTCAAGTTATAAGTAGAATACCAAAAAATAAAGTCGACACACTTGTCTTCATGTTGATGGTTACAAGCCTCTTGAATCTTTTAATTACCTATTTCTTTTTCTTTGATTTAGTTATTTTTATTCGTATGAATAATTTTGAAACCTGTATTCATGCTAAAACCATGATGATTCAATAAAACCTTTAAACTAAGTCCAAAGGTTCCCATATAAGTATTTCTGTAATAAGGTGATTCGTTACTTGTCAACATATACTGCATTTTTTTTATTTTTTTTTGTTTATATATTCTTGTATATGGTATTTTCTTTTCTTTTGTGTGTGAACATTCATGCATTTCAGAAACACTGTTAACCATGTTATTATAATTAGCCCGAAGAATTTCGTTAATCTTCAATACAGAGTGCATTAATTCCTACCATATAATTATAGCTAGCTATACGGAGACGAAAGTCATTAGACAAATCCATGCAGACATTTTTGAAAGAGAAAATTTAGACAGGGAGTAGTCTAAGGAGCATAAGCAATATGCCAATATGTAACGATATACACAAACCTTTTAATGTGGTAAAACCAAAATTGACACATATATATATCCAGATAATATTGGTGAAGAGAAGGTGTGATTTTTGTCAATGAAAATTTGATAGCTAGCCAATTTTGACAGGCTAATTTGTGTCATTCTATTTGCTGCCATGGATGTTTACACTGATAATTAGAAGAAGTTGACATTTTCAATGCTCCTTCTTCTCCCATGTGTTTGATATTCTTTGGGCATTGCTAAATCTCTATTTAGGTAGTTAGGTCTCATTTGTGAATATAATACACTCAAATATTTACATAAACGTATGGATCATCTCTCAGTACAATTAGGTAGAAATTTAACGCACAGCACGACAGAATACCAAACATGTTTATAGGGTAATTATTAACTTGCAAAAACGCAAGGATGAAGACACAAAATTTAGAGGTTTTTTACCCACCCCGGAGAGGTGAGAAAGTTAGTTATAAACACGCCCTTGCTTTCTGAAAAGCATTATATATCCCCTTATTATGGGGGTTTTTTGAAACTTTTTTAGGGGATAAATCATAAATGATAATATGAGGAGGTAGGGAGTACTTGCGCAAAAACCTAGGGGCCTTTAGAATTGCTCATCTGTTGGGGGGCAAAATTCACTATTTTTATATTTATTAATTATAATTAAAATTCTCAAAGGCAACAAGGGGATGTAGCTCAGATGGTAGAGCGCTCGCTTTGCATGCGAGAGGTACAGGGTTCGATACCCTGCATCTCCAACTTTTTTTTCAAATTCCCTTAAAGCAATTGGTCCTGGCGGCCATCTAATTCTACAGTCCAGTAAGTATATTATGGTCTACAATATTCTATTCTTTTGAAGAAAATGGATAAGAAGGAATAAATGTCTTATGTGTACACAGTCCCCACGTCCCCTATTTTATTTCAATGCCCAAATACTCCTCCTCCCGTACCTTTCTTATTTATATCATCTGTTTATATCTCTCTAAATATCTCCATATTTTTTGGTTCAAAATCTCATTTATAGTTTATGTTATACTTGGGAAATCAAGGGCTGACGTGGGAAATCACGTGATGGGGGGTGACCTGCTCCCGTCAGAACGGTAAGCGCACGTCAGGCCTGCAAGACGCCGTGGAGCTCCCACGTGTCCATTCCCTACTCCAAATCGCGTGAAATCAGCTTGGAAGGTAGGCAATGTGACGTAAAGCCATATTTAGTCCTGACATTCACACCAACCCACGAATTTAATGATCATTATCTGCACTCATCTCACTATAAAAAGGAAAAACCCCTTCATTGAGGGGATTCAACCTTTTCATACTCTGAACTAGCTTTCTCTCTCTCTTGTATCTTTGTATTTACTTTTCCCTAATCATTTGTAAGTCCGTCCGCTGTTGCGACCTGACCCACGATTCTAATACAACTATCAGTGGATATAGGATTTGCTATCTTAGCATCCGAACCACTTTAAAAAGCTCTCATTGTTGCATTTACTATACATTTTATCCATAATCACGTGTGTCTCTTGACCAATCAACGTTACACACGTGTCGATTAGTTGGTGTCAAAAGCACGCATCAACAGTTTGGCGCTAGAAAGAGGGTCAGATTTAGTGTTCATCCTTCATCAGGAGAATCTCTAATCTACTGGTCTTACAGCAACAAATGGCCCGCCAATCTGAACCTAAGCAAGCCAACCAGCACGCTGAGGGAGTTCCCCTAACCTAGGGGGATACCTCTTCTAGAATACTTCCAATTCCACAAAATGCTACTGTGGATATCCCAGCAGCCTCGCAGCTTGACCCCGCCATCAAAAGCTACCTGGAAAGGTTCGACAATACTCTCCAGATGGTCAACCAGAGGCTAGACCGTTTGGACCAGGGCGTGCCATCTAGAACAGCTTGGGCGGTGCAACTGCCAAAAATGCCTGCAGCGCGAAGGCGCGGCAAAGGGAAATAGCCCGTGCCCCGAGCACTGCAGCGCGTAGACGTAAGGGTAAGCAAGTGGCAAAAAGCAAGCCTACGGGCTCCAAAGGGCCAGCGAACACAAACCATGCCCCAAGCAGGGTGCTGGCAAAGCTGAGACTCGGCGAAAAAGTGAATCCCGAGCTGTCCCATGCCACTTCGCAGATGAACCCAAGCAAAAGTTCTGGGCGGGGTGATTCTTATCACCGTCAGCAGAATGATCCTGATCGCTATCATGCGGGTGGTCCCCACACCTCGCGGAGCGGTTCGTACCACCGCGAGGGTCGTGAAAATACTCCTCACCATCCGTCGCCTTCACATGCCTCTAGCCAGCGTGTGTCAAGAGCGGCCAGAAGTGACGAACGAGACGAAGAGGAGTCCGACCTCCATACTTTCCTAAACCGTAATCGCGAGGGCCATACTCGCATGGGTGAAAGCAATCCCCAACTGGCTCCGTTACCACAAATTGAGGAACTGCAACAAGCTCTGGACAGGCTGAGAGAGCGGCAAAACGAGCAGGCCCAGGTCGCCTCTACATCCCCCTTCTCTCCCGAAGTGCTAGCTGCTCCACTCCCACCAGGGTTCAGAATGCCCGACATGCGGCCGTTTGATGGGAACCATGACCCGCAAGATCATTTGTATGAGTTCAACGACTTGATGGAGCTCCACCAGGTTTCGGATCTTGCAAAATGACGTTGTTTGGCCGTGACTCTAACCTCTCATGCCAAGCGGTGGTTAAGGTCGCTCCCAGCGGGATCGATCAGTTCATGGCCTTAGATGAGCACGACGTTCCTACGGCATTTCCAAGAAAATCGGAAGTTTTCGATGCCTTTAAGCTATCTCAGCAACATAAGGCAAGAAAGGGATGAATCCCTACAATCCTACATCGACCGTTTCCACAGGGAACTCAACAAGGTGGCTCATGCCCGCGAAGAATCCATCCGAACGCTCATAATAGCTGGAGTTCGCCCGCAAACCGACCTGTGGAAAGAATTACAGGCTGAGGATGGTGTTTCCCTCACCAGATTCTACAACCTCGAGGAAAAATATCTCTGAATAGAGAATTCATTGGCAGCACTCCGCCATCGTGATCCCGACGCTTCGAGCAGTATGTCTGGTCGGGGGAAAAGTAGGAGAGCAGATCGCAGATGAGACATTGACGATCAGTGAAAAGGAAAGAAACCTCGCTGCAAGCACAAAAAGTCATATGCTTCTGTTCCTCGTCGCGACCACGATAGAATTCAATACACTCCGCTGAATGTGTCCATATCTGCAATTCTTGAAAATCCGAGGAGGCCAGCCTGCTCGGTGAGCCGGAACCCATGAAAACCCCTGCTACGGCCAGAAATAGCAAAAAGTACTGCCGTTTCCATAAGGACAACGGGCATCACACCGATGAATGCCGAGCTCTAAAGCAGGCAATCGAAGAGCTCATCAAGAAAGGGCACTTCAAGGAGTATATTGATGACTCTGCTCCAAAAGAGAACCAAGAGGAGCAAAAGAAAAAGCGTCGTGATCGCAGTGGATACAATAGTGTTAACATAATCTTTGGAGGCCCACACCTCGCGGGAAACACGCGAGGTTCGCAGGAAAGGTACGCTCGTGAAACATATCACGACCTGATCAGGGTAATGAACACATCACAGCGACCACAAAAGGCTCGAAAGGAGGAGCCGATCACCTTCTACAAAAAGGAAGCAGCTCGCCTGCACCATCCTCACGACGACGCCCTGGTGATCACGCCCCTCATAGGGCACCATAACGTCCACAGAATGCTCGTGGACAATGAAAGAGCTGTGAACATCCTGTTCCAGACCG